TGTACACATATATATCTACACTCCGTAGTAATGTGTAAATATCTACGCTAAGATAAAACAATAATCATAAGTATTAACTATGGTTTGCACAAGGTATTCATAACATTATGCCCCTTCTTTCAGATCATTTGTCCTGAAATTGAAATACATAAGAAGGCATGGATGGATAGAGACACGGTGTTTATGGAAACAGATGGTATGGAAAAGCAAAGTATGATTATGTACAATGTATGAAAATGAAAAGATACACAATAACATGTACTACAACATATAACAATAAAATAGCTAACAATTAAATACAATACATACCTTCTACAAGTTAATAAGATTATCAACAGCAATATCGCTCAACATCCTCATAATGTCAATGAATTCCATAATATCACAAGATACAAAACAATATCAATAGTTTTTTTTTCATTAAGAGCAGCAATTTTCATTTGTAGGAGGTTCTCAAGCTCCTAGAGACAAAAGAACTGTGCTTCCCTCTGCAGGCAGAACAGAAGGGAAAAATGTGGCAGCTCAACTCCATGCCGAAGATAGTTCAGAATTAAAATAAACAGTTTTGGTCCACGGTCGATAAAGTAGGTGTATATGTTATCCATCACATATGGTTTCGGGGGGGGGGGGGGGGGGGTGTGGAAGGATCATCCTAGAAAAAGGGAGCTTGGGCCGGCCTGCATTGTAGGCGCACTGGTCTCGAATTTAGTTCCACCGACATTCAGATAGATTTGCTGTTTTCGAGATTGGGCCATACCCTGGAGTCGAATCAGTTCCTTGAGTGTTGGAGAATAGGCCGGGGCTTCAGGACAGTTAACAGTTTACTGATTGGACGGGACGAGGTCCAGTTCCAAAGGATTCACATGGACAGACAAGGCTGTCGAAGACTCGGATGATGACGAGGAAGCTGATAAAGAGGATCTAGAGGAATGTCTTTGCCCGGCTGTAAGTTAGCTGGTGCAAAGGATGGTAAGGTCAAACCTGGTGCACAAGATGGTAAGGTCACAGAGGGCGCCAGTGGGGGAATGGGGACAATTGTTGCTGGTGGTGGAATGAGCACAGCCGGTGCAGATGGTGGCGTGGGCACAGCTGGTGCAGATAGTGGAATGGATAACCTCTGGATCTTTGCGGGCGACAGAAATGGATCTGGAGATATGGGCTCTGTGATTGGCTAGTAGGTCTGAAGGTTCAGGTTTTTCTGTTTAAGGGGTTTCTTGGATGTGCTGACTTGTTTTTTTTATGTGCGATTTGACGCGATTCTCCTTTGAACGTTTGTTCTTTTCCTCAGGGTTGATGAGGCATGGCACCCTGTTAATCAGGGAGAAAACTTTTTTTCTTAAAGATGGCAAATTCCTGCTCGTCAGATAAAGTGAACTGTCACGTCTTACGATTATCGGGGGAGAAGGATGATCCAGGACACTATGACTTGTGATTGTTTGGACAGTTGTACACTTGCTTACACTCGCTACATAGCCACTGTGTTGCTCACTCATTTGGCGCTCACATTGGTAGCGTTCTTCAAATTCAAAGTCGGTACAGATATCACGCTTGAACATGCAAATATTCTGGAAATGAAAGGTATGAAACTGGTAAGTAAACATGTACAGGTCAAGATACATTTCTATAAATGTATATATTCATTTAATCAAGTGGTAATTTTGAAATAGGATTACTTTTAACAGAAATACTTTGGTGATGGTTATAAGCTTTTTGTATCAACTATAGGTGAAATGAATGAAGAATGAAAATAAAAACTTAACGACAGAGAAATCCAGCTATGGTTTGAACCAGGTGAGAACACTATCTCCCAGGTAAGGTTTTAATTTGTCGTGGTGTACAACTTTTGCTTTTGAGTGGGGTGACCTTTGGATTCTGAAAAGAATATAATTTTTATGGGTAACAAGGAAAGGACAAACCCAGGGTCTCTGGAGTTTTTTGCATCTCTTTTTGGTTCTAGTAGGGTTATATAACCACACAGTATCCCCTTTTTTATAAATGTTGGCATTACTTTGGTTGTCATATCTCCTTTTCATAGCTTTGGTTATATTTTAGGTAGGGTCAACTGGTCATTGGACACCTTCTCCAGCACCAGCAGAGATGCTGCGGTCAACAGGGGTGATTTCTGGGTCAACCTCAGTCATGGTAGAATGGATATCATCACTTGGTTTAAAGCACACTTCATTTGACTCACTGGAAATATCCATTGTTAAATGATTTGGGATAATAAAATGGTTATAAAAATATTCTTGTGAAACTTAAGTTTTCTTTGTCAACTGCATGGTACAGAAAATATCCCACTTCTGACACCAATGTAACGAAAAAAAATGCCTAAAATATTTGTATTAAAACCCGGTAAAAATAACTCTTACAAAATTTGTTATAATAATACGTAGGCTCTACACCTTTAGACAGTCAACAAAACAAGAGAAAGTCTTTGTTTAAAAGAAACATATAATTTATTGTATAAAAGTACATAATAAAATTTGGAACCTCCAGGATACTTTTGGAAAGTGTAAAGATAGAAGATGCACCACTCTGGAAGCGAAAGTGCAACGATATGGAAATGAAGGGGCGGTAGCAGACATTGCTAATGTAATCAAATATATAAGGGAAACTCTGTTAACTGGAGAATGTGCAACGATAACAAATAAATATTCACTTTCTGTAACTTGGAAGGGTTATTAAATAGCACCTTCTGGGCCATTTCACAATGGGTTAAATGCTCCGTAATGTATAAAAATGAAGAGTTTCGCTATTGTAGTTTTCACACAAAAAAACCACAGTCGGCCCCCTTAAAATACATTTTATGTTCCCTTTATTTTTACTGACTGGTAATTGCTTGGATCTAGTTTTGCCAATCTTATTAAGAAATATTTCTGATACCATCAAAAATATTTTAAAGAATATATATTTACCTTGCCCATGATGATTTCCTTCACATCTCCTGCCTCAAAATGTTATGCAGCACGATCTAGGCGACGGAAGTTGTAAACTGCTCGGCCTTGTACCTGGCGAACGATTATAATGCGGAGGATCGCCGAAAATGGCAGATCAGGAATCGCTACTGCGTCTAACGGTACATATTGTGCTTCGGCAAAATGGGGGCATCTATAGGACCACCATCGAAATGAATATTAAGATTTAAGATGAGGTTGTTTATTTCTTCTTTTGTCTTATTTTTTTAAAGACCACTCCAAACTCTTCTGCTACCTGCTGTAACGACTTTATTTTTAGCTTTTTCAAACTTTCGCAGGTCGCCATCTTACTCTGTGTAAACATTGCCATAAGGCTTTGCCTGAAATTATTTACGTAAACACAGTAATATTATTGGGAGAAAAAAATAGTCTCAATAAAAAGAAAAGTGAAATTATTTACGAAATCTTACTTAATGATCTACTGCAAAATTTTTATTCGTGTTGATGTCAAAGTACATGTGTATCTTTCCTACTCTTCTATTTTGCCTAGGTATTATGCGCATGCATGCATATTATCTTAACCCCTTACATGACATAAACGCATTTCTTACGCATCTAACTTGAAAGCCAGTAAAGTGTGAACAAACATTCATAACTTTGTTAATACTGCAAATATCATCGTAAATCTTGCACTGTTGGAAAGTGAAAATAATTACGATAAAATGATATATTGAATTATTCTTAATGGGAGTACCAGTTTTTGCTAGTTTAAGTTTAACTTTGCGCACTATTTGAGCGTTTTTGCCATTATCGAAATCAATGTGGGGGTAGCACGTTTTACATGTAAAAATGCTTAATTCTGGTGATTACCTCCCACCCCCCCCCCCACCAAATACTTAAAATTAGTTGGTAATAAATTGTGCAACATACTTATATTTTTCAACACAATAAATTATTTGTAATATATTAAACCAAGCAAAAAAAATCTAGAATGAAACTCATCTTTGAATAATTGGAAATTCCAGCATGATTATGTTGTATTTTCGTTGCCATGGCAAATGAAATGATATTTTTAAAATCATTTTTAGAAACTACACAACACCTGCTTTCGGAATATATATACATTAGAAGTATAAATCCACACACGTATTGTTATAATAAATCAAAGTACTGAAAGCACTCATGGGAGTTGAACATGGTGTAAAATAAAATCTTTGATCGGGAGGTTAAGTGAGTGAACAATATTATTATTTCAAATACAGACAACTGTTTCTGATTTTTTGAGTTGCAACAATCTTGATAAAGACATTCAGAGACATTGAGTAGCAAAAAAATGCATGGGCCATAATGCTTGCCTGCCCACATTAGTCCTTTTTTTTATACCCCCTGCTTGAAAAGCGGGAGGGTACATGTATTTATTGATCGGGATTTCCGTCTCCATCTGTTTGTTACGCTTTAGGTATACCCATCTCTTATCCGCAACTCCTCTTACACCACTGAAGGAAATTTTCATAGAATCTTTATTACATATTACCGTTGTGCACATTCTACATGTATTACTTTTTCATCCTACACATATTTTGGGTTTCCCATTGCAAAACATGGACACTGACATTATATTCATATTAGAGGCGGTTATTTATATAATTCACTGCTCACAGTCTTCAAATTTGTAATATATTTTTCCTTGGCACCTTTACCCATGTGTTATGAAAATTTCAGTTTCGCAGGAATAATATCAATGTTAATAAAATGTGGATTTTAACACAGCATCCTTTTAAGAGCTAACAGGTTTGTTACATAAAACTTCTCTGTGAATATAAATGTATGTCAATTACACGAACATTATACATGGAGTACGTCAGAACTTAATCTTTTTTAATATCGTGAAGAAAAAAGCAATACCAAGTTCAAAACAAACATTTAATGACCAAACATTAAAACAGTGGTATATGTGAGAGTTTGTGTGCATACACATTATCTGGTATATAATTATGAAAGCTCAAACTGATTTATAAATTTCTTTGCAGATTATGGCCAGTGTTAGTTAAGTGGTTAATTCAACGTGTAGTGAGGTAGATGTAGATCAGCTTAAAATTGCATTTTGGACGTGCGTTTTATGTCATTACGTTGATGTGAAAAGCGTTCTATCATTAGAAAGACAGAGACAAGCTCGGAAATCAAAAGTAGCTGTAGACGGCGAATTCAGGTACGTAGATCAGAGAAATATGCATGAATGGCCAAATGGGTCTGATATGATACGAGTATAAAAATTTAATCGTCCTAGTCCTGAATGGCCTGATAAATGTATGAGATTAGGAAAAGTTTTTTTCCTGTGTTATAAAATTGATGAAATATTCGAATATCAAATATTTCTTTTTAATTAAAAGAATTCAATATATGAATTTATGTTTATCTACCACTAATTTCACTTATAAAGGTCAATAAGATACGATTTTTGCAAATTCCATTAAAATTACTCATCTGTGATATTTTTAAGAATAATCCTGAGGTGCAATTTTTGTCATTTGGCATTCCATGCAAGCTGTGCAGGTTTTGAAGTTGAGTTTCTTCTGACTGGAGACACGGAGGAAGTTTTATGCAACCAGTGTGCAGAAAATGAACAGGTGAATTCAGACTCATTGTTTCTGAACTTTTTCATGTTTCTATTCAGTTAGAAATGAAAAATATCTGAGCATTTAGCACACACAAAAAGTCATTCCATGAAAAAATCAAAATTCATTTGAAAGTAGGAAGAGCATAGTAGTACAAAAAAATGTAGCACTAGTAACCCCCTTTTTTTTTTACAAGTCTGTTTTAGCATACAAAACAAATAAAATCTTATACATTATGCCTGCAATAGATTTGAGGGAGTATTTTCAAATTATAAATGTATTTTTATAAGTCAAGTTTGTTGACTCTTTGAAATATATAACTATACATCATAACATTTGAGATGCAAGTGTTCACTTCCATTTGTAGGATGATCGAACTAAAAGTAACGAAGGGCGGAGTAATCAAGAAGATTAATGTCACTCAGAACATGGCGACAATGCTTTTTTCAGATACAATAGGTAAATGTTTTACCACCCAAACCGTATCATTGCAAACCACAGTTGTAATTGTCAACTGAAGTGTCAACTCAACAACTTGTATGGAATCAACCAAACTAAAATATTAAGGCCGGCTTTGAAAGTTCATGAGCTGAATGATTATTGTTTAATCTTTATCCATCTCTTAATCTGTCCTCCTTCACTTTTATTATATGTATCAAATAAAATTAATTCATATAATAGTCATGTAGGTGCTTTACTCACTAGCAGCATCTAAAAACACTGGAAAACAAAATTTTTGAATCAATGTAGGTCATTGCATCCTTTCCTTAGAATGTTTTAGGTACTGTTACAATATGTACATTTATGTGGTACAAATAATTTCTACTACAGAAGTTTTATTTTATTTTTAACTAATACTAAGTGCATCTTAAAATACGTTTCGGCACTGGTTCGCATCAACATCTTCTACATCCAACTGTTATTCAACATCGTCACTGTTCATAATGCACATATTATGCAATATACATGTAACAATTATTAATTTGGTAATAACCTCGGGGTTCATTAGTGGAACATCTCTTAGGATTGGGAATCTAGTATTTAGTAGACCAAATGCTCTCTCCACTGATTGTCGTGCGCTTGAAAGTGTTTTGTTAAATTGAATAACCTCTGGCCTTAAGTGTCCATAATTTTTAAATGGTGAAATCAGCCAGTTCCTTAGTGGGTACGCATTGTCGGCTAGAAGATGGTGCCCTTGGATAAACAGTTCTCCCGCCTCTGCTTCATGATAAAGATGTGAATTTCTCAAAACCCTAGCATCGTGGGTACATCCCGGCCATCCACTGTACGCACTAATGATGATATATAATTCATGGTCAACTGCTGCCTATTAAAAAGAGCGTTTTAAACTTTCAAGTTTAAATAAGTTATAATTTAAAGTGTTAAACATAAATCAAGGTTCTATCAGTTTTTTTTCTTGTAATGATAATGTTGAAAGAACATATATGTTTTCATAATTTTTTCATATTCAATCACTTAATACATGAAGTTGGATAGATGGGAAGCCTTTTCTGTTGTAATATTCTTTCTCACCACCTGGAGCATACGTTAATCGTATGTGGGTATCCAAAAAACCTACTACTGCGGGAATACCATACTTTTCATGAACGTCTCTTCCAATTTCTCTCTGTCTGTCCGGTGATGGCCAACGAATTATCTAAAAACAAGAGATCTGTGTATATTATACCCATAATTCTGTTTGAAATAATCCGACATCAATCACACGTCAATATACCAGTATTACAATTTTAAAAGATCCAAGTTAGCCCCTACACTTTTTTCAGTAAATAAGATTTTTTTCAATACACGGGAAATAACTGAATCCAAACTTTTCTTTTAGGAAAAGGCTTCAGTGTAGTGCCTATGTCAAATGAATTTAGTACATGTACTTACACGTGTACGCAGTTTCAGCAATGAATTGATTACACGGTTTATAATATCATGAACAATGGCCTTGGACATTCCGAAACTGTGTGCACAATTTCTCATGGAATGCTGATTTCCAACATAATTAAGAAAAACCAGTAGTTGTCTGTCAGGTGAAATAGGTACATTTCCACCGGTGTTGTAATGTATTAGGTCAAGCGCAATTTCTGCCAATACAATTTCAAAAGATTGTTTACACACTCTGTAATGAAATTTGAAATCGTCGATATTTTCTACTGTACTCATTTGGTCCACCACTTCCATGTAGTTATTGATTTTCGGCACACTGTCTCTTGATGTATGAGTCAAAAGATGAAACAATTTATTGTAGCATAAGTGTTCAAAGAAGTAAATTTCCTCTTCATACTCATCAAATAATTCGAAAATTGCTAAAAGCTCGATGTTTGACCTGTTGCATACGGCCATTTTTAAACTAATACACCAAACTAAACTTCGTTCGAGTGCTTTAGTCAACTAGACATGCGCATTAGAAACTTCCTTACTAGACTATAGCTGACACACAAACTCAACCAATGCTAAGTTACACAAAATCAACATTCATATTGTGATGTCATAAAGCGCCAATACTTAGTTCATTATGACGTCATGATAATACGTAAGTAAGTTCTTACGGGAAATAAGATTTTTTGTATACATAGTGCAGTTATAATATGCGGGTAAAAGAATATTTCTAAAAACGAAATATAATTATATTGCATTTAAAAAGGTTTATGTCTGTTTATAACATGTTTTTCTTTAGTTTCACGTTCTTTTTCTGTAGTATCCCTTCGGAATTTGTAGAAAGGAAAAACAGTAAAACTGGGGGTTTTATTTTTGGCACAGTTTCTGATGTGTTCGCTTACGGCGGTACACTGGTATTTTGGTTCCCAAATTTGTTGTCGGTGTACGGTCATTTTGTGTCTCCTGTCTGGGCAATATAATTTTCAACATAACCGGTACAGGTTATCACATAAATAAGATTAGAGCTGGTGCATGACATCGATGTTTTAATTGTAAATTCGCTTCCAGTTTTAAATTGAAATTTGGATCCCTCTGTAAGGTATGGGCAAGTACTGCATCTGGGCTTGTTGCATCTATTGATGATTGCTGGTTCATTGTTGTTAGAAGAAAATGATGCTTTTGTAAGGATGGATTTGAGAGACGGACTTTGTCGTTTACTCTTAATGATCTGTGAAGTTTCTAATATTTTTTTCATGTTTTGATCATCCTTTAAAATGGGCAGATTATTTCTAATAATGCTGAAAATCTCTGGATTTTTGGGTTATGTGTTGATACGTATGGTAAAACATTATTTACCTGTTTGTTTTTCACTGTGAGTAGATCTTTTCTTTCTTGAGATTTTGCTTTGTTTATTCCGTTTTCAATCCATCGTCTAGGATAGTGCCTTTGAAAGAGTAGTTCTTGTAGTTCTGTGAGACGAGATTCCAAGATAGTATATTGTAACATTATATAGATAATCCAATAAAAAGTCTCAGTGGTCGGAATTAAATACTTGAAATAAAAAAGAAAAACACGAAAAACTTCAGTAAAGCTATAGGCCTTTTATTCTATCTTCAAAAGCTCTATGAAATTAACAACTGTAGTAACATAGTAACGTTACACAATAATTGGCGGAGTGTATGACGTCATTAATATGAAGTCAAATGTACTATGACGTCATAGTTAACAGCTCACTGCGTACAGGTAAAAGTACGGGAAAATTTTAAGATCTCAATAAAGAGCAGATATACATATGCACACATAATTAAATAGAATTGAAATACATTACATCAGATTGTTAAGCTTTGGTTTTAACGCACAAATAAAATGTTTTTCTTTTTGACGTCTACAAATGTCATTTCCTCCTGCTACTTTATAAAACGGAAACATCGTAAATTTCTTTTGTCCGCACACGTCTAAATGTTCACTTAGTGGTATTTGTCTATACTCCGGAGTGTTAATCTGTTGCTTGTGGGTTCGAACCCGGGTACGGAGGGTGTTACTGGTCTTAATTATGTAATATTCACTACACCCTGGACAGGTTATCACATATAAAACATTTTGTGTGTCACACGACATATTGGCGTTCACTGTAAATCTTCGGCCGTTAAATTATAACAAGTTCCTTCAGTTAGAAGGTCACAGGTTCCACATCGAGGATTTCCACATTTAGTCACTGAATGGGTTCCTTCAAAATTAGAGTTACATAGCAGTCTCTTCAGGTTCTTGGGTTGACGTCTACTGGAGATAAATTGTACGTCTTTATAAATTTTCTTTGTTGTTTCGTCCTCTCTGAGAATACACCGATCCATTTCTTATGTGGGTGTGTGAATTTTGACCAATCAGATCGCTGCATTATCGCGTCATTTGCATCTGCGCTGAGGTCGGACATCAGTCGGACAAAATGGCGCTGTGTTTACGGAGATGCTACAGAAAAGTTCTTTATAATCCGTTGTTTTTTAAAAGTTGATTATTTGGTACTTTGCCATGGTGAAGCACTGTTCGTTTGGGACGTGTAAATCCGATAGCAGGTACCCAGATAAGCTGATGGGAGCAAAATTCATTCCATTTCCCAAGCCGAAATCTGATTTACAAAAATGCCTGCGATGGTTTTCCTTGTGTAGACGACCTCACGATCAGCTCAACGTAGACAAAATTACGAAACATACGTATATATGTTCAAAGGTAAACATCATAGACATTATAATCTACATATTACAAATCAAATGCGTACAAATGAAATGTGGACAGTATATCCAGAT